CCATTAGCCTGGCAACCCGCTGCGTGTTACATACCGAGCAATGCCAAAGTATCAGATTGCCGAAGAACTAGATCGATTATTGCTGTTGATATGATGACTTACAGAGTAAAAGACAGAAAAAACTTTCTATACAGACTTAAAGAACATGATCATCAGGTTTGCTTCATGGCTTCGTTAGATATCACTGCTCTTTTCAACATGTGTATATTATCTCGCTGACTAATATTCTACTCGGCATCTTGAAGAACATGGTGACTGAGTGCAGAACATCTGAAAGCGTGTTGAAAAATAGCATTGTAGATTATGTAATGACAGTTTTTGGCTTGCCATTAATGGCATTTTTCCCCAGTTTCAAAATTCGAGAAACAATACCTACACCAACACATACGGCTTTCCGTGGACTCCCTGGTGAGTGTTGTTTCAGCCGATCGTTTATATGAACCATCTGGAGGTGAAAGCCCTTAAGGAATGTTCGCCAGAGTTCCAACTGCTGCTGCATGTTCGATTGGTTGATGACATTTTCCTATTATTCCAACCAAATGAGGATGAACTAAAAAGGTTGGAATATTTCGTGAATTATATGAATGGACAAGATGAAAAAGGCCGAATACACTTTACTACGGAAGTGGAGGTTAACACTCTGTATCTTTCTGGACGTGCTTGTGAAGAGGACCCCATCGTTTTGATTTCGAGGTTTTCGTATATCGGAAACCAACACACTCAAATCGACACCCTGCGTCATGAGTTCCTCCTAGGTTACTTAGGAATGTGGTAAAAAGAACATGCATTTATGAGCTCAAGAGATCTGCACTAACAGTTCTGGCTTAAACGTAGAAATTCAGCATTTTCACAAGACGCTTCTAACGAACGGTTACCAAAGGAGGATCCTTGACAGAGGACTTTAACCAGCTAAAATATAAAGTTGGCCAGTTCTTATGGATCAACGGTAATTTTACCGTTTATATCCCAGATATCTCAACGTATCACAAGGTACTTTAATTACATTGACTTAAGGTCCACTACAATAGCCCTGAAGAAGTCCTAAGTGTTGTCTACGAAGTTCATGGCAGAGACTGCGACAAGGCATACATTGGAAAACCAGCCAGAAATTGAACATCCGTATAGAAGAGCACCTTGCTGTTGTCCGCCTTGTGCAGGTTGACAGTTCTGGCATGGCCCAGCATGCGATTAATGAAGGGCGTTCTTACAGCCGGACCAATATGTCTGTTATAAACAAAGCCCAGCTTAAGTTAGGTCTGCTGATAAAGGAGTTCTTGCATATACTGGCAATGAAAAACCGGATGTGCAACGAATGCACATCATCTGTGGTTATCAGTGAAAGCTGGATACGCACAATTAGGTGAAAATGGCAAAGATCCGATTTATTTGATGTTAACATTATATTTTGTTCAGATAGCTTAACAGTGTTTTGATTGTATAGGATGAGCTAATAGGAAAATTGGTATTATTAACTGGTTGGACATAAGTACCTTCAATCAGTCAGTTATACTCAGTCCAGCCCTGATGATGCTGTGGCCTGTGCAGTGAAACGCGTTGGCATCAAACGGCTTCCCTTCTGCTGCATTTGGTACCGCAAACCATGAATCATTCAAACAACCTTGTAGAAGGGAGTAAGCCTTTGCGAAATATCCGCTTTTATCTTGCCTCTGTCAGGTCACTATTTTTGTACGGCATGGAAACAGTTGA